CTATCTATCTATCTGTCTCTCTATCCAGCCACTTATCCACCCCTATGTCCAACAGTCTATCTTTCAATCCCGCCGAGTCATGCGCGAAACCGGGTCGATGCCGAGAAGCAGCGGCGTGAACTCGAACAGACAGAGGTTCGGCTTCAGCGATTTTCTTAGGGTTCACGGGGCCTTTAGGGTTTGGGGTTTAGGCTGTGGGGTTTCGGGAATTTGAGGTTCTTGGTTTCGTGTATATGATCTTAGCATAAACGACCATCGTCATCGGAGGCCAAGATGTGTGTTCAGGACACGGCATTTTAGAACGGATTGGCGAGATCATATGCTCAAACCCCAGCCCGATTCTTCAATGTTCCTTTCCGAATCCCGCCTTAGAACCTGTCACTGTGTTGGTGCCCAGCAGTTGCCCAGCTATGCATCACTAGTTTCATGCGCTTGTTTCTAGCATATTCTTAGTCTTGCCTTTTGCACCTCTTCCATTTGCATCCGAAGCTTTGGATGTTGGAAGCTTCTCATCCCAGGGTAGGATTGCAGAGTGTAGAAAGGTTGGATCCTTGGTTTTGCGGGTTTGTAGGTTCAGAGGGTTCGCTTTGGCTTCAACGGAACAGAGTTTAGGTTCCAACAGAGTAGGGAGCGGATCATTCAGGATTTCGGTGTAGCGGGCTTCCGGTTCCGGTATTTCAGTGTGATCTTTCATCATGCCTTGGGCTTGAAGTTCCTGGAGCCGAGGATATAGATTGAGGGTTCGAGGAAAAAGGGTGCATGTGTCCTGGGATGGTTCAGGAATAAGGGGTCAGGCCATGTCCGAAACGATCTCGCAGGAGGAGACTGCAGCTATGAGGCAGGTGTGCGCGCGACTGGAGAGCCGTGATCCAAGTGAAATGTGTGGGGGGGGGGGGGGGGGGAGCTGCGCTAGCCGAGAGTCTCCAGTACTCCGTAAGTAGTTCAAAGCATACAGGGTTCGGACATGGATTCCAAGTCAGCTGACGACAGGCTTTTATCTTTGGGTGGAGAGTTGGCGTCGCGACACATTTCGGCAGTATGGAAGACCTCATAGAACTGTGATATTCTTCATGGATGGCAGATATTCTCGGCTTCGGGCGCAAAATCAAAAAGATGAAAACACATGGTGCCGGCAACACCCACACCACACACACACACAGACACACACACACACACACACACAGACACACAGACACACACACACACACCAAGCTAGGGCTTGTAGGGTTCAAAATTCCTGTCCAGGGTTCAACAGATCATCTCTCACGGTCGAGGCATGCTGTTCTCAGTAGTCGCTGCCACAAATGCGGGAATTGTAAGAGACTGCGAGGCGTGACCTTGTTGTTGTATTTTTCGCATTCTGGCGCATATATTACGATAGCAGCATAGTCGAATAATCGAGTGCGACAGAACGCGTAATGTATGAGTTGCATATAATGTAGTATTACCATGACCTTGCATCTTGTATCGACTTGCTTCACTTAAAGTATAGGTAAGTTATTTTATACGAAGTTTGTTCACAAGGAGCATACTGAATACAAGAGAATTGTAGCTAAGCTGTAATCAACCGAACATCTGCGTAAAGACGTAGACAAACATAAATGCATACATTACATCATTTGTTTTTATATATGTATATGCATACACATGCATATACATATGGAAAACTGCACCTCCTCAGCCATACTCAGGGTTCAGACGATCATTCCAACCGGGCATGTTGCCTCTGAGCCGTCTCAGCCCCTTTCAAGCAAGGATGCCCATGCAAAGCTTGTCAATGGATTTTGCAGGCCAGCATAAGCACAAGCACCACAGGCTTCTAGCATTGCGCATCCTGAACCCTACACACTAAACTAGCCCCCGTTCATCATCACTGAAGGTCCCGTCCCCTGCAGGCCATATCGTAATGATAGGATTGCAAAGCTTGCCCTCACTAGCTCCATCACGAGCATGGAGTCCCATGTGGGTGTGTTCATTGCAGTGGCGTTCATGGTGCAGTTCGCGGTAGCTGTCAAGCTGGCTTCCGATACTGCTGCGAGCAAGGGTAAGATCAAGAAGTGGCTGATGCAGTGCCGAAGCTATCTGGTTGGCGTCTTCCCGCAGCAAGGCGCACAAGACCTGATAATGTGGAACGAAGTCATGCGGATTCACATCCAGATTTCCCACCGGAGTATGATCTTTTTGCTTTTCGCCGGATGCACTCTGATGACGGCAGCGCAGGTGTTTTTCCTTTCAGGATTAGACCCAGCGACATTCTGGCTGTCTACGCCGCAATTGTGGACAGGTACGTTCGGCCTTGTGGCCGTGTACTTGTTCCTGGGTTCTTTTCAAGGAACTTACCCTAACCCCCCAGATACCTACTATATAGGGTACTAGAGCCCCTAGGGCCCTATATAGTAGGTTCCTGGGTTCTTTTCAAGGAACTTAGTTTAAGTTGAACTGAGAAGGATAAGGAAACCATATTATCTACCGCAGATCCCTTACATGGAAACTTAAATTACATGTATTAGTTTCCTTACTAGGGCAACTTAGACTACGTTTTTTGTTAATTAGATTCCCTTAACAAGAACCCAGGTTCACCTTCGTGCCAGTCCGCTTCCAGTCCTATTCGGTCCATGCTTTCTACCTCATGTTGAATTCCCTGGCGCTGATAATGCTGCTGCCGTCCCATTGCCCGAGGGACCAGCTTATTCGGAATTCGATGACTCAGTTTATCATATTTCGCGTGCCCTCCATTTTGCTGACTCCTCGAACAGTGCTGGTGCAAGTTGTGGGCTGCGGATACCTTCTGATGTCGCTCTTGCGATTTACGCTGGAGCCCATCCCCGAAACCAGCGGCTGCACGGTTGATGAGCAGTTCTTGGTGAGAATGGAAGTGTACATGTTGCTTGCTACGACCTTTCTCTCCTTCATGGTGAGGGCAATGGTGAAACGGAAGGTAGAACTCAGTGTGGACAGCAGCAACCTAGCGAAACAGGTCAGCGCTGCATCCTCCTTACTGAAGCTCACTTGCGATGCCGTACTTGAGCTGGATGACAACTTGCGACTCACAGAGCACTCCCCAGAGTTGTCCGCCTTACTTCTGCACCGACCGGGCTCCAGCATGAAAGGCAAACAGCTGACAGACTTCATGAAGCCAGATGATGCTACCCGTGCCACGCATATCCTGGCTGCCGGTCCGTCTGGCCATGAGAACCAGATCTCTGCTCATGCCTTTCACACACGACTTGTGGATAGCTGCTCAAGCAAGCTCTGTGCAGAGGTTTTTCAAGTGAAATACACCAAGCACGACGGCAAGGAGTATAGCTTGCTTGGTCTTCGTGACTTTACAGATGTCAAACCTCTCTCTGGAGGCAATGCCCTCGAGTCCCTCGAGCCAACATCCAGCACAGACAGCCTGGGCTCGCAAATCTGCCCCGCAATGACAAGAACAGACACCACTCGAGCAGCTGCAGGTTTCTCTTCGGAAGCAGAGGATGCTGTAAGTGTGACTGGGCTCTTGTTGAGAAATTTAGTTTAATCAACCATACTCGGTATCTGTAGTAAATACTGTGGCTTCCTTATGTTTCTTATGATGGTAGCTTAAGTTTTCATTACTTAACAAGAACCCAGGTGAGTGTAATCAGCTCCACAGATGAAGAGTCGCTGACATCGAGGCCCCGAACGGTCTACATGGATATTGACACGGAGGGCATGCTGATCCAGGCGGCTTCTTCGCCAGTGATGGCACTCTCTGGCTCACCACTGGCAGATGTGTTTCCTTCCCCGCACACGAGACTACTGTTGGAGCAGCTCCGTCGTGAGGCGGACCTCTTCCGAAGCAGGGGGGAGGAACCCCCTGGTCGTGTTCTGAACTACGACGAGATGCCCGTGATTCTCCACCCTGGCACGGTCGACCGGGTCGACCGCATCACCGGGACAATGCAGATCACCCAAGCGAGATTCGGCGGGACCCACGTTCTCATGGCCTTCTCCCCGCTCCGTCCAAGAGAGTCTGAAGGCCGGCGTAGCTCTCAGAGCTCTCAGAGATCATTAGAGAAGCCTCTGGGAGCACTGTCGCTCTAAGAGCCCCGCAATTCGCGTTGGCAGTTTTGGGTTGACAGCTCCTAGGGTGCCCTACCGTTCAAGGAACCTCAGGACGCTGCCAGGGCAGACCAGCATCGCCAATGAGGCGTTTTGTACAGTCGCCTGCATGGTCAAGGGAGCCCCCCCACAAAACAATCGTCATGCAGCCAAGGCTTTTTGAGAAGGGGAGGTGTGGAGCACTGACTCATACTGACTCTAGGTGTTTTCGAAACTAGGGTCCCTTTGAAAATCCTTTCTATAAGAGCGCCGCATAAAAAAATTGGGTACCTAGAAAGGGACCCTAATGTCGATGTGACGTTTCATCTTGTCGGATATTTCTCGAAGCTGGAGCTTCTACCTGGGGTTTGGGACCCCCCAACATTTGAACGAAGCCCATCTTGCTGAGTCCCAGCAGAGGGTAGTGCCCTGCTGTCAATTCAGTTAAGGGTTTCCAAAGTTCAGAGGAAGGATTAAAACAAAAAAAGCAGGTTCCGGGCTCCTTGAAGGAATTAGAAGTCAGTTGCCATATTAGGGGTCTTTAGTAAATAACACGGCTTCCTGAGTATGGTGAATTTAAACTAAATTCCTGAACAAGAATGCATGCTGCCGCAAGTGGACGAGAACGGGTTTCTAGCTCTAGACGGTTATTTTGCGTTTTATGCCAGTGTGGGGTTTTGAAAGATGTGATATGACGCGGGTCTGTGTTGCTTGGGATCCCGGCCGCGTCAGCAGTTCGCGCGAGCCCTGAGTTTTGTGTTTGCAGTCAGTAAGCTTTTCTCATGAGAGGTGTTTCCATGTCATTAGGGTTCGCTAAGAACGGGGACCGTTCACGGCAGAATGCCTGAGAACCACGAACGATGCAGAAACGGACCCTTTGTACAGTGCAGCTCCCCTTCTCGCGCTATGTTAAAAAAGTTGCAGTGCTCGGCTCTAGCCGGGGGGATGCGACTCTGCGGGAGGCTCGGCTCTTTCTTGCGAAACCGAGCGTGAACCTCCAAGTATGTTGACCAAGCCATTTTCCTGAGATCTGAAGATAGGCTTCATGCACCAACTTGTTCGACGAGAAATGTTCCACCCAATATCAGCAAATACCCCTCGATTAATGAATATACCTTAAATTCTAGGGGCCTTACTATTATGATTTAAGGTATATATTCCTTTATTTTCAGCCTAAGCAACTACTTTTCAATTATGCCGGAGAAAGAAGGCAGGGCAGTGCTGCAAGGTGTGTAGAAAGGTGCCGCACCCTGTGAATATCACATTCTGCCCATGAATCTTAACTCCAAAAAGCCCCACCCCGCACCCCTTAACACCATAACCTCTAAACCCTGTTAAGCTGGGTTTAGGGTTTAGGACTTAGGGCTTTAGGCTTTAGGGTTTTTTCTTTAGGGCCTTCAAACCCCGTAAATCCCAATCCCCGAAGCTGCAAGTGAGGTTCCAGACAGCTTCTCACGACGCAGGCCCAGGAGGTCTCTCGACGAGAGGCAGGACCCTAAGACCTAATGTAGGGGTCGAAATAATTACCAATATTATTTTGGGAGGGCTCCTTATTATAATTACAGTATCTTGGTCCCCAAAACCCTATTCTAATTATTTCAGGCCCCTATATTACCCTGAAGCCTAAAAACTTAAGCCCCACAGACCTGCACCGCCAAGACCCCTTGAGCCCTGAAGCCCAACCTCCCAGGCCTGAATCCACAAGATCTCTTATACAGCCTACCTATAGTGGAAGCCAGAAAGTTGGAACATCATTATCCTCATGCCCTAAAGGTAGAGTAGAGGGAATCCCAGCTATAATCATCCTAAACCCATGTTCCAACTTTCTGGGGTTCACTATATAGCCTCCCTTGTAGTTCGTTGTTTTGTTTACCCTAGGGCTCCAGTTACCTAAATAGTGGGTTACTAGCCATATATTATGTACCCCAGTAACCTACTATTTAGGTAGCTGGAGCCCTAGGGTTAAACAAACTTCATATTTAGGTTCCTATCAGGTAACCCCCAAAAAAAGAACGACAGGGCAAACTATCCTTACACTCTCCCAACCACTCCCCCCGCCCACAAACAACCGACGAGAAGCAACTAGCGCCGAACTTCTGGTGACAGGCCCCACCCCTTCTTCCACCCAGACTAACACCTATGTTCCAGCACACTGTGCAGCTTCTACTGCTGCTACTTGCCACTGCTACTGCTACTGCTACTGCTACTTCTACTACTGCAACTCTTGCTGCGATTACTACTATTCTACTACTACTACTACTACTACTACTACTTCTGATGCTGCTGCTCCCACCACCTCCACGACGACGAAGGCTACTACTGAATTGTAACTAAGAGTAATAGTGATCGGTATTGTTATTATTACCATTATTATATTTTACCATTATCATGTAGATCCAACAGCACAACAACACGAATAGCAACAACAACAACAACAACCACAACCACAACCACACCGGCGGCGGCAGCAGCAGCAACAACAACAACAACAATATCAATCATTAACACGAATATCAATGGTAAAAGTAAGACTCATCAGTATATGTTCTGAAATGATAGTGTACTAATAACAAAAGTAAGAATTAACAGCAACAGTAGTAACCCGATTTAATGATCATTAAAAAGATCTCATTGTTGATGACAATTGTGTATAATGATACATCATAGAAATGATAACACGAATACCCACATTATAATAATCATACCACCCATAACAAGAACAACAGCAATCGTACTAGTTCAGTCATAATGGCTATACCAGTAACAACAGCAGGTATGATAATGCTAGTGACAGGAATATTCACAACAAGCGAATAACAAAATTACCAACACCTGATGATAGTAACAAGAAGCAAGAAATACCAACAATTAATCATAGTAACTGATAGTAACACAATGGCACAAAAGCTAAGCTTCGGCTCCCCGGCTGACAGCAGGTCCTCCGTGCCTCGGAGCAGTCGCGGCAGGCGAAGGCCCGGAGACTGGAGATTTGGGCCTCAAATTCGGAATTAGGGATTTAGGGCTTTAGTGTGGGCCTGGGGCTTCGGGGGAGTGGGGTTTAGGGGGGTTTAAGTTTAGGGGTTTAGCGGTTTGGTGCCTTTTTTGGATGTTGGAGTCAGGCATTACTATGCATTTGCGGATCATGGATCAACTTGTGTATGGTCCAGAACTTTGTATTGCAACCTGAGCCCAGCAAACCATGGGTGGTGGATTGTTGAAGGTTCTTGGGCTTGCTAGTCTAGTGCATGCCAGGCTGCTAGGTTTCCCGGTCTGAATCTATCTGCACAGCTCGTGTTCTCTAGCCTCCCTTTCTGCGTCTCGCGCACTCTCTCTCTCTCTCTCTCTCTCTTTGTGTCTCTCTGTCGCTCCTCTTTCTCTCTCGCCCCGCAAGCCTAGAAACCCGAAGTCAAAGCCGACCCGAGCCCCGAGCGCAGCTTGCGGAGCAGGAGCTTGGCGATAAGCTCCTCGAAGCTTCTGGCCAAAGTAGCACCTGGCTTACCATAGCTTGGGGCATTTCCTTCTGCAGAACTCTCTGAGTTCGATACCATTCAGACGGAGACAGGGCAATGTTGGGCAGCTGCATGTGCCAGGGTAGCACTGTGCAATCTTCACACGAACTCGTCCACTGCAACTGCGTATCCCAGGCGTCAGTTCGTGCCAGCTACCTCATGAATTTATCTGACTTTCCTTTTGACTGTACCTGCGCAATGCGACACACATCGTCCGTCTCCCTCATCCCCACAGTTGCCGTCATTATCCTCAGCATCATTCTCGCTACCAGTGGACCTGGACCACTACCAGCTCACCCCTACCAACATCATACCATCACCAACACCGCCACCGGCACCAGCATCAGCAGCGTCGTCATAGTCGTCATCATCATCAGCATGATGATGATGATGATCATCATCATCGTCATTATCACCATCAAGCACCCGACCCCGCAGCGGCAGCGCACCAGCACCACCAGCGCACCTCACCATCACGTTTATCGTTGCCACAGCTGCCAGGGCAAGCGCAGCAATCATCCTATTCTTCTAGTGAGCCCTATGAACCCTGAAGCCTAAACTCCAAACCCTGAACCCTAAGCCCTAAACCATGAACCCTAAGCCCTAAACCCTGAACCCTAAACCTAAACTTGCGAATCCTAAACCTCGAGAACCTTAAGGACATTGCGACAGCGAAGTTCGTAGTCTTTGAACTTCCATGGAGACTGTAGGTGGCAACACAATATAGTGTAATATAACATAAAAAGATTGTTGAAGCCCATTATAAGACAGTATCATACAATATTGCCCATATACAACCATTAAGGTACCCTTGTATTATCCCTTATAGATCCCTTTAAGTACATGCAGTTAAGTCCGGTATAATACAATAGTCTAATCTATTATCAGATTATATAAGATAGCCTAATAGACCCTAAACCCTAAACCCTAGAAAAATATAGCATAGTAGACCCTAAACCCTAAACCCTATATAATATAAAATAATGTACCCTAAGCCCTAAACCCTATACAATATAGCATAATAGACCCTAAACCCTGAACCGTATATACTATAACACAATAGACCCTGAACCCTAAACCCTATGTAATATAGCATACTAGACCCTAGGCCCTAAATTCTATATAATATAACATGATATGCCAGAAACCCTAAACCCTATATAATATAACATCGTGGACCCTTAACACTATATGGTATAGCATAACATGCCCTAAACCCTAAAGGCTACATAATACAGCATAATCGACCTAAATCCTAGACCCCATGTAACAGAACATATTAGTCCCTAAACCCTAAACCCGACAGAACAGGCCCTTTAAACAAACATAACCCCTAAACCCTAAACCCCTAAACCCTAAACCCTCCTAAACCCTAAACTCCAAAACCCGAAAACCCTAAACCCTAAGCCCTAAACCCCTAAACCCCTAAACCCTAAACCCTCCTAAACCCTAAAACCCTAAACCGTAAAACCCTAAACCCTTTAAAACAAAAAA